ACATGCTTCTGCCTCTGTTGACCCTCCCTCTAACTTCTATTGCCTGCCTCTTTGACTCCCCCACCATCTCCACTCCCCCTTTCTACCAACCTCTCCTCCCTCCCTCATTTTCTCTGTTTCTATCATCATCCAAAACCTTCTTGTTCATTCTTTTTACCTATTAAATAATACTCCCTTTATTTATAAATATAAAATATTTTTAATTAAATCTCACCTCTTAATAAAATAATTACTTACTTTTTAATTAATTATATCTTTTTATATTTATTCCTTTTAAATATCTTATAATAAATATAAAATTATTATTAATAAAAATAATTTTTAAAAAAAACAATAATTAAATAGATTAAAATTGTTTTATATTTTTGAACATTTAAATTTTTAAAAAATACTTTATATTTTTAAATAGAGGGAGTACATCTTTTCAAAAACAAATATTGAATATCAAAATTGTTTAAAAAAAAACGAAACAAAGCCTATGTGGTGCATGATAAAAAATACTATAAAACTCTTTCTCCAAATATCTTATGAATATGATTAGAACCATATAAATTAAGTTAACTAAGAATATGTAGATATTAGGATAACATTCCTATTTTTGACTATAATTCACTTAATTTGTTTTTATCAATTCAATGTATTTAAGAATCTAATAATTAAAACGTTGAAATTTATTATTTAAAAATCAGATAAGTAGATACTAGTTATCTAATTGGGTATATATGAATCAATGGCTCGTTTTAAAAAACCTCCAAGTTCACGGTCCAAATTTTGCCTGATTTAACGGTGATGATCAAGCTATACATAGATATGAAAGCAGACGATGGATTATTCTATTGTATCTCCTGCGTGGTTTGCAAAGGACTTTTCAGTAAGAGAATGATTTTGTTTCTGGCCTTTTGTTTTAGTTGCAATAGTGATTGATTTAGATCCAAGGAAATTATCATGGAGAATTTCATTTAAGTCTTTTGCGTGTGACATAATTTTAATCGGATTTCAAAAAATTTTAAAATTTTACTATAAGTCAGGAACACTAAAATAAAATAAATTTTCTTACTTGAGTAATCAAAATATCTTTTAATTATAATTAATATTATTAAAATAACATATCAAATTATAATTTTTTACAAGTAACGTTATTAGAATAATAAGTTAAATTTCAATTTTTACAAATAATATTATTATAATAACAAGTCAATTTATTGTTTTTATAATTAATATTAATAAAATAATAAGACAGATTATAATTTTTGCAAATAACATTGTTATAATAATAAATCAAGTTATGATTTTTATAAGTAATATTATTAGAATAACAAGTCAAAATACAGTTTTAACAAGTAATATTATGACATTAACAAGAAGTTACATTTATTTTATTAATGTTACTAATAAAATATATAACTTGACTTGTTATTCTGTTAATATTATTTGTAAAAATTATAACTTGACATGTTATTCCAGTTTGAAATGAAATTGAGTCACCCAAACTTCAAATGAGAGTAAGCATTGAGCAATCAATTAGCATTTGGTTCTTTTAATTGATTTTAATCAATGTCTTAGATACTGCGGTTGGCGTCCTGTTGCCTATTACGCTGCCACCTTTCCCACCATTGAGCAACGTGTGCATGGAATTGTCGGGGTAGAAAAGCTGTTGCAACGCATGTATGCATCTCTTTTGAGAACCAATAAAAACAACCACTATTTTCGTTAAATTCTACGAGGTTGAACCGCTGTGGAGTTTTCTTTTTTTATATATGATTGGCATTATTTTAACTGCATTAATCATGATGCTATGGGCAATCTTGTTCATTGATTAGCTTTTTTTCCATGTTCCATACAATAAATGAAAAAGAAGAAACAAGAATAAGAGACATAAACGAACATAAGGATACTGTGAATTCTGCTTGTGCCACTTCCTCTGCCTTCGTAGCACCGACGAGTCACCATATTGGAAAATTTGTTTGGTCTTTCAGGTATAAAAGTCGAAAGCCCTCTTTAAAAGGATATAAGAATACAGGTTAATGCAATATGTACTGTCTTATCATGTTACCTTGTGAGCATGGCTGCTTATAGTGTTTGGCAAATGTACGGCATGACACTTGATAGTAGTGGAAACATTACCTATCAAATTGGAGAACTTTGTTTTTTTAGTAATATTTTCTTAAAGTTCATAATAACATTCACATATTAAGAATAGTTTGTGAGCTTTGAAGTCTGATACTGAATTTAAATTCCTCATTAAAAAAAATTAAATAATTGCTATTGTTTTCCTTGATAATGGGACCACAACATCCCTGAAGAATTTAGTGAATCAAATCAGGCAACTACGCTTGATTTTTTTAAAAAAATGCAAATCTCGATGGACCCATGTTCCGAAGGTAAATAGTAGTATTTTAATTTGTTTCTCTGTTTACAGTTTTTGTTGATTCTCTAGAAGCTCAGTTTTGAACCTTAGTTGCCATATCCATGTTTTCTTTCTGGACTTCTATTATTGCTTCTCTTTCATTACAGAGCATGTAGAAATAATTTGTTTTGATATCTACATTTATGATTTTTTAATCAGCCATGTTTTGAATTTCTAACCTCTTTTAGTCTGTTTAGTCATGGCCTGGCAAACATGAGATATGCAAATTGATGGTCCCTTTTTCCCACAAGTTTGCCCCGGATTTGTTAAAGAAGTTGAGCACCTATTGCCTTGTCATGCAGAAATCATCATGTGAGTAGTACATTGCTGTCAATGACTTTCGAGTAGAATAATCATTGACATTGAATGTGACAAATTGCAGTGTGACCTAGCATTTATAAATTGTTCTTATTGTTTTCATTTATCACTGATATATTGGCTGAAAGAACAAAAGACTCATCCGCCATATCTGGAGTGTAATTTGTTTGATATTTTTTTGACTAATAATTTGTTTGATATTGGTGTTGACAGTATGGCATATCCATATAAAGGCTTCTGAATAAGAAAAATTATTTGTTTTTTTTTTTTTTGAGATTTTGACTACTTGCACGGATGAAGATGATAAGGTATCATGAGGAGCCGTTAGTTAAAAGAAGTTGTTTTATAAATATATTTTCACAATCACACTTCTTGTCAACCTTTATTCTGAATGAAATGTAGTAACACCATTTGCTTCGGTATTAGCTATGGTATCCATGGTGCACTCACGGAAGTACCCAGTGGGAGGAAAATAGAATCCCTCATATACAATCAAATTTTGTGAGAGGAAGCAACGAGACCAAATCCCCTTGTTAATTTCCTGGACATCATTGAAAATACTTGTGCGCGCATTTATTGATAGGCTTTCGTGACTAGTTTTTTTAGCTGTGATTTTATTATTATTATAAAATAATGTTGGATTATGAAATTTGTTCAATGTATACAAATGTTGTATGCTTTTGTACTTATATTGTTAGATTTATTGCTAGAATATATTTTTGTATTGTATAGTGTTTTAGCAGAGCTTATTTTTTTTTTTTAAAAAGACTCAAATATATAGTAATTATTTAAAAATAATGGATTAAAAGTCTAATTTTAACCTTGTACTTATTTTTAGAAGTGCTAAGCACCTTATATTTTTAAGTGAGTCAATTTTATCTCTGAATTATTTTTGAAGAGCAAAAAACCCTTTTTATTAATTAACTATTAATTTTGCCATTTTTTGTTGAAGTGATAAGTATGTGGGGCCCACGCACAATGACATACAAAAATTTGACTATGTCCTTTAGCACTAATTTACTTTTGAACTCTTTTTTTATGAGTACTGAACACCTTAAAATCTCTTTTTAGGAGCACTAGACATCCTGAAGTATTGTTAAAATAAAATATTATTATTTAAAAATACTACACCAATCAATTTAATATTTCAATATTTTTGATATTTTGCAAATTTGATTAAAAATGAATGGAATGGACCTTCAAATTAATGAAGAAATTTTTTTCTTCTCATATCTCCATTTTTCTCTTGTTAAGTAACTTTTTTGTAACACATTAATAGAATAAGTGGTATCTTTTAAATAAATATTTTTGTTGGCTTATTGTTGATCCTGATTTGTTATATTTTTTATTTTACTCCTAATACTGCAATATATAAAAAGTATTAAATTTAGGTAGCGTAATATTTTAGAAAAATATCGTTAGTTGAACAAAAAAAGTACAAAAAAGACCTAAAAATTTAATAAAATTAATCAACATTAAAAATATAAGCAAGTTCTGATAGGCATAACCATTTGGGCATTATCTTTGAGAGAAGATCGAATATCGATATATAAAAAATAAGAAGTCATTTATAAATTTATAAAATGTTAGTTTGAGTTGTTAATATTTAAAAATTGATTTATAAATTTTGAATAAATATTTATAAATAATAATATTTAAATTATTAAATATGAAAATATTTAATATTTTATAATATTTATTAAATTTTATTTTAATACGACTTCAAGATACCCAATGCTCCTAAAAAAAGATTTTAAAGTGTCTAGGATTCTTGAAAAAAGAGTTTAAGAGTAAACTAATATAAAAGGATATGGTTAGAATTTTATCTATTATAATGTACATAACACATCAATAGAAAACGGCAAAGTTAATAGCCTCTTAACATAATAGCATTTTTGAACCTCGAAAAAATACTTTAAGAAAAAAATTGCGTCACTTAAGAGTATAGAGAATCTAACACTTCTAAAAAATAAATATAAAAATAAAATTAAACTTTAACTCTAAAAATAATCATTATATAATTAGAATTATATAACAGTTACCTCAAAAACCATTATATAGTTTGATCTGTATAGCAATTATTTTTAAATAATTATTATATAATTCAGTCTGTAAGCCACATAGCATTTATTTCAAAACGATTGCCATACATACCCTCAATGTATAATGGTTATTTTAAAATAATTGTTGTATATACATTCAATATATAACGTTTACAAATAATTATATAATTGTTTGAAGAATATATGGTATTAAAATATATAATGATTAAAAATCATTACAAAAATAACCTTTATACATACATGTACTTTTTTTTTTTTTTTGAAGCAGTGACTGCCATGGACGAGAACAGTTCAAATGTGTCATCAAACACTACAATGGATGATGAACGAAACCCTAATAAATTGGAGGAAAGCGACAAAATTGAACAAGGAGAGGCATAAATGCCGGTAATCATACTAAATTACAAAAGGTTAAAAAGTGGATCATGCAAGTGATAACCACGACCCCCACGGGCCCCACCCACCCTAATAATTATGCTTTTGTTTTACCCTCTCCAGTCTCCACAATAGACTTTAGCTTCTCCACCAGAGCACAATTAACCTATCCGCTTAACTTTCTAATTTTCCAAGTAATCCTCCTCCCCATACGCTACCCCTTTCTTTCCGCCTCGCCATGTCCACTACACTTCCCCACTTCCTTTTGATTGATGATCATATCGCACGTGTCAGTCAGAAAGAGCGGAGACCTCAAAGACGATTTCACATGCCCTCCGGTTTGCTTCACCCTCCAAAGTTTCCGTCTCACCAGAAAAGCTTCCACCACAAGGCGGCTTTTATAAATTGTGCAATAATTGGCAAAACGTGCAATAATGGCAAAACTTCAGCAGGATATTTAGCAAATGAACCGAAGTTGATCAGAAGTTGGCAAGAGTGAGCTCACTGCTACTGTAGGATAAGTAAATCGGGAACAGTCGAGTTATCATGACCTGAAATCGTGAGAAGTGCAACACAAGTCTCTCCTTTACATCATCCATGCTGGATTAACAGAAACAGCCGCCAAGCACAAGCAAGATTATCGATAGAGGCAAATAAGCAGCTATATCAGAACAGGAAACACCATAGATTTGTAAATAATCCTTGGGAACATACCTAAAAATCCAGAATGAAAGTCTAGAATTCATCAACACCTCATTATGATGGGACCCAACATGTGGAAGCATACATGATGCGGCCCTTCCAGCCCTGAAGCATCCAGTTGTTGTCTTCATCAATTACAAAATCCCTGTGATACCATGCCTTCAACTTTTCGCTGAATTTGACCATTATCTCTTTTGGCATTGGGAGCTGCCTGAAACCAGCCCTTGTACTCCTGACTTGCCAGTGTTTGTATGCCTCGGGCCTCTCAACCCTCTCGATCCCTTCACACGCAACCACATTCATGACCTCCCGACCCAAAAACTCTCTCTCAAGCATCAACCTCCATTCATTTTCACGTGGTATGACAGTGTCAAACATGTCATACATGGCAGAAAAATGGAACAGTGCCTCTTTGAACCGTGTGGCAAAGAAAGGAGCGTTGTAGGATCCATTGACAATGGATTGAACAAAAATATCAGGATTCATCTTTCTGATCAAATTCAAAACTGCATCTCTAGGACTTTTTACCTCCATCGTCTCATCCAGTAAATTTTTAAATCTCATCAGACAGTTCACAGCAAGCAGCTCGTTTCTCTCAATCTTGAAGTCCTTCAATGGGATGGTTTCCCAGTTTTGTGATGCTATGGCTGTATATTCAAACGGGACATTAAAACGTTCGCAATAATTAGATAGACGTCGACCGGTCTCCTCAATTAATTCTGCTGGACGAAACCCTGCTCGGGGCAATTCTATCCCTGTGATGCGTAGCTTCGGAGGTCCGCCAGCTCTTTGAGAGAGAAACTTGATAAGTATTGGCCACTGGAAACCATATTGAATGCCAAAATCGACAATATGAAGAGTTTCTGCCTTTTCAGCTGCTTTCATAATCATCTTATTTGCAAAAAAATATGCAAACTTCCTGAAGGGGCAGACAGATATTAGAACTGAGTAAGCTCTCAAAATATTAGCAGCAGAAATCCTCTTGGAGCTTAGGGAGTTGTAGAATATTTGGGTTCCAGTACCACAGCCAGACAAGCGTGCCTCAAGGCCATTGGCAAAGTAATGAGCCAACCTCTGTGATGCATCGCCAAGTGGAGAACAATGCTGCCTGATCTGCTTTAGTAGTTCATTGGCAGTTCTACGGTCATTTGCAGACACAGCTTGCGCACATAGAGCCATAAGAGTCCTCAAATCCACGGTCTCCTTCTTCTTGCCTCGTCTCCTGCCGCGGGTCTTCCCCCCAGTAAATGACTTTGGCTGTTCACTTGGCTCTTTGGCGAAGTCTGTCCCATTCTGCAACCATTTGTGGTGTTCCTCGCATAATGGAACATTCTCAACGCTAAGCAACACCTTATCAAACATTTCTGATATATCACTCTCGTCCACATATACTGCCGACTGCTTGTTACTTCTCCCATCTTCTGCATCACTAGCTTCACGTTCATGATTCTTCCTACCCTTTAATCCATGTGAGTTCTCCATGATATTTCCTCCTGTCTTTTTAGCCTCTCCCTTTGACTCTGGAAGAGCATTGTTGCTCTCCAGACCAGTGACAAGTTGAAATCCTCTAGGAAGAAATTTGCTAGCTTCTTCCAACCCCCTTTTAAATTGCGAGACAGATTCTGCATCAGTAAAGATATTTTGAGCCAATATCTTAGTAAAAGAGGAATTCACATCTGACGATCCGTCGCTGATACAAGTATAAGCACTCGGAGGTTGAGAGGATTTCTCAGAGATGGGTTGGAAATTTAACTGGGACGCATAATAACCTGAAGATGGAGCATCGGGGGAAGAGGGCTTATTAGCGCCCTGAAACTTGCTGGTGCTGCTACTGTCATTGACACAATCAATACTACTACCACAACAGTAGTTATCATCTGTGCTATCAAGATTCTGATGAATGTCCAGGGGATGCTGATTAGGGGAATGAGGATGATCCTTTTGGAGAGCATCATAGAATGATTTCTCCGTGACTTGTAGGCTCAAAGGATCATAAAACATGCTTGGCTTCTGTTCAAAGTTCTCTTCCATAAGAATTTGGCTTATGTACCTCATAGTTTCTGAAAAGTCAGCGTCTTCCAGCGAAGGATCTGGTGGCGAAATCGTGGACGCAGCTGCCACATCTGACATGCCTCCTATAGGTTCCATGGTCGAGGAGGGAACTAACCACTCTGATCCTTCATATTTCACGCCAGTATGCAGAGCAAAACTAACGGGAGTCGCATAAGGTTGATACAAAGGATCCGTTTTGAAGTTAAGAAATTTCCAATAGTTTTCATCGATTTCCCACTCTTTCGCTGGATATGGCAAATAGTTGGAATCGGAGCTGACGGCGGCATCATCAAGTCTATAACCGTTTATTAAACCATGGCTTCCATCCAATTGAGGATCCATATTCAAGAGCCAGCAGAAAACTAACCCAGAAACACTGAAGATCTAAATCTTATGAATGAAAGAGTTGAAATATGAATAAAAACTAAGAAAGATGGTATGGACCAGAATGAGACGAAAGATCGATCACAGCAAAAAAAGGAAGAAAATGAATTCAAATTAAAGAGACAGCAACAGATGAGACGAACCAGAAAAGACTGATCGTGGAGATATGTCGCAGTGAATTTCAGTAGAAGTTATGGGTAGGATGAAAATCCAGAAAGATGCAGAGAAAGAGAGAGAAGAAAGGACGGACCATGTAGAGGAAGGAAAGCGGAAACTCAAGGCGTGAGCACGATAATTTAAAAATTGGATTTTTTTTTTTTGGTCAAAAGCAATTTTTTAAATGTATACACCCAGTGTATTCAATAGTTTCCATCACTTTTATTATTCAACTGTGACTCTTGAATCGGAAATCAGAGCTTTTTGCTGATTTTCGATTTGATAAGTCAATCTAATTCATTTCGTAGCACGAGCAACATTTCTTTAGATTCAGATGTTGCCGCTGGTCAAAGTGATTCAGATGTTGTCAATCTTAAATGTTTCCATCCTTATTTTTTTCATTCAAAAAGTGGGGATAATTTCCTAATAATATAGTTTAAACGTAATTAATAAAGATTGTTTGCAAATTTGACCCTATAAAAAGATATCGTGGGGAAGAGTAATAGCTTGAGCCTTGAGGTATAATAATGAAATTGGATTTGTCTTCATCCCAGCGTGTAATTAGTAAAATAATAATAATAAAGTAATTAATGAGTCTCGTTTAACTTTTAAAACTATGACAAGTGTAAATGCATCATTCATCCAAAAATGAAAAATAAATCAGCAGTAGATATTTGACCCCATAAAAGGTAAATTCTGGAAGAGTCATCTCTTGTGGTACACTGAGGATGGTACACTGAGGAGAGATGAGAATTGTATTCATCTCAATCATACGGTTGGTAAAATAATTACTTTAATTGGTCGGTCTCGTCGATTTTTTTAAATTTTTTTCTCCCCAGATTGTTTTTTTCAAGCGTAAATGCATCGTGTATCAAATCAGTCAAATGTTGAGATTTGACAAGTTTGTTGAGGCAGAGCCATAAGCTGGGGCATGACAATGTGATAACAATTATATTTATGCAAAATTGAATTAGTTGAAGTGATTTGTATTAATGCAAAACATGGAATTGTATTTATACAATTAATCGTGATTTGACGATTTGCAGGCAAGGGTTGAAGATAATCACCCACTTGTTGGGTATTGCTTGATTGGCAAGCCTGATAGTAATTTTCTTCTTGAGGAACAAGCATGTGGCCATGGTGGCACCCCAACAATAAAATAACCCAAAACCAACGGAGCACCCCTTTCCATGTTCATCGAGCATTGTATAAGGATTTCTTTGGGGGGAAACAATTACTATTAAGCATTAACTTAAAAAAATGACTAATACAATTACTATTAAGCATTAACTTAAAAAAATGACTAATATATATATATATATCAAGATGCTATCCATTAAAAAGAATTTAGCAAGTTGCAGCCATACAGGGTTCGGTGACACTTGCGCCAAATCACCTTCCACGTCTTCGTCGCTTATTGGAGCCGACAATTCAATAGAAACCCTCTAACCTTCTTTAGTACATGGGCCTTAATTTAAAAGAATTATGATTGAAATTGAGATTGAGAGTGGGAGTGAAAAATTATGTTTGATATGTAATAATAATTGTAAGGAATACTTTTCTTCATTTTATTCTATAATTAAGCATATATTATAAAAAAGACTAGAATATTTCTTATAATTAACAAAAAAATTTCCTAAAACCCACTTGCTCTTTGCCATAGACTCACAATCGAACCCAACCCCCCTCCCTTTGCTGTTGATCACCCTGTTCGACAACTTGGAATTGGGAGCAAGCAAATCAATGGAGCTTGTTCATGATGGATTTAAGAGCAAGATCACGATGATGGATCTAATTATGATTCCTCATTCTATCATACAATAGTTTAGAATCTCTCAAATTGGAGAGGATGATGGTTCTAGGAGCAAAAGCAATGACAAAGCTTGTCTAATGACTTAAAACTAGATCTAGACTCTCTTGAACTAAAGGCGAGCAAGTTTGAAGGTAAGTAGACGTAAGGAGATGTGAGCAACTTCATTGGCGAGATATAGGCAGGGGAAGAAGAACTTGAACTAATGGTGGAGGAAGGCAAGAGATAGATAGAGGGAGAATGGAGGAAGATAGATAGAGAAGACTCAAATTAGTGGTGGAAGACAACAAGAGGTAGATGGAGGGAGAAGAACTCAAACTCAAACTCATCAATGGTGGAGGATAGCACTGATAATAAGGACAATCATGATAGACTTTACTAAGTGAGAGAATAGTAAGGGTTGGGGTAGGAGAGATATACAAGAAAGAGGGTGTGAGAATGGGGGTAATTTGGTTTGAAAAAAATCAATCTCAAGATTGATTTCCCAATACCAAGGGAAAATAGTATAGGGTAATTTCATGTAGATAGGATTAAGATTGAGATTAAATATCCTAATGCTCCATGCTAAACATAAAAAATTGGTATTAGCTAGTGCCAATTGCAATCTCACCCCTCCAATCCTTCCCATTGAGTGAGACTTATGGTTTTTATTAATTTTCATCTTAGGGATTCCAAAGCTACAGTAGTAGAGGTCAATTTCAAATTTGATGAATGCTCTCACTTATACTCCATGTTTATAATTTATAGTTTGTATAACAATATTTATTGGATAGAAGAGTAAATTAACCTTTAAATGATAGGTCTATGAGTGTTTGAGATTTTACGTTCATTTTTTTATAATGTTTCCCTTTCACTTTTGAAAATAGTATAATTGAATCTCTACAGTTAACAAAAGTTAAATTTAATTATTAGCTGACTAGAAAATGGCCTTAAAAATTACAAAAAAGGATCATAAAATTATAATAAAAGATTTAAAAATTACAGACACAAGCCCAAAAAATTATAAAAAAGGATCAAGAAAATTTAATTGGTCATTTTTTATGATTTTTGAGATTTTTTCTATCATTTTTTAGTTAAATAACAATTAGCTTTTTTTTAATGATAAGGACTATATTACACGCTTTTCAAATGTTTAAGAAAAAACATCATAGCAAAATTGAGTTTAAGATCTCAAATATTCATTGACGTATAATTTAGGGGTTAATTTGCTCTTTTTACCCTTTATATATTGTAAAGAGAGTATGGCAATAACTAGTTATTGATGATGAAATTTTTGGTCTCTCATGTTTGCCTTGGCTATTAATTCATCCTTAAATTTTATGTTTTTAATTAATTTGGTTATTTAAGTTTGCCTCAATTATCGATTTGATTCTCATTATTTAAAGAGAGTTTGACATTATTAAATTCCACTAACATATTCTCTTTGTTTTTATTTATAAGTAATTTCCAGCTTTTTTCACCTAACCCAAAAAAAACTTTAAAACTTTATTAACTCTATCTAAAAATTCAATAAGTTTTTAACTTTACTCCCATTAAATATACCAATTTTAAAAATAAAATAATCTAGCATCTAATAACCTTCTCAACATTTAATAGGGACAAAATGGTAACAATGGACACAATAATCATTGATGTATCTTATAAATATGGTCAAAACAAATGCACTTTCTCTATCTTATAAGTAAAACTAGAGGATTATAATAGAATATTGATGGTAGCTATATAAATTAATTGAAAAAAAATGTAATTATTTAGTTAAAGTAAAAACAAACCCAGGTTCATAAAACAAAAGAACAAAATTAAGTAAAATTTTCATTATCATAAATAATTAATGTACAAAGATATCTATCATCCTCAGGCATAGTGCTTAGTTTTTTTGTAAATATATAGAAAATGGGTTCCTCTAATTTTCATCTCCAATGCAAGTTTACCATTAGATTTTATGGTCACAAATGGGGCAAGTCGAGCCCATATTGGCCTGATTCTTATATGCTTACTTCATATGGACTCAAGTTTATAAGTTCGATTACCTCAAAATCAATCATTTTCAAAAGCTTGTAAGCTAGTTTTTATTATTTATTACTTTTTTGAATTTTTAAAATTTAAATTTTTTAATTATAATATTTCAAAATATAAATTTTCAAAATATGAATTATAATGTTAAAAAATTAAAAGTAAATAGCAGTGAATTCTTAGTTGCTTCTGCATACATATCTACTCAGGAACCTTTGTGGAATGATGAACATTAAGTACGGACTTGGATATGGAAGTGGCCTTGTCGTACCTGAAAAATGTGACACAGATGATGTGCAAGCGGAGGTTTCGACCTTCGGGCCAGGAACTGGATGGAATGGGAGTTGACATCAAAATTTTAAGAAAAATCTTGAAAAACTGATTAAAGGAGGATAAAGATGGTCTGTGAAAATAGAAAATAGATTCGGGAGTCGATTGAGTGTGGGAAAGGTGTTGGACACCCCACAACACCCGTTCGTGAGAACAGTTACCTGAAGTTTATTGTACTATATGAATATGATTTTAAAATTATTTTAATTATTCCTTTTATATTAATATGTTTGATATAAAAATGATCAAAATTAAGTGAGAAATATTTATTTATTTATGAGGGAGGACTTGACTCAGAATCTGACTTTGAGGCCTACGTACCTTATGTTGAGAATCAAAGTTCACGTAGTTTGGACTTAAAAATTATTGGTGAAAATATTTTTTAAAGAGAAATTTAATTAAAAATAATTCATCATTTTGCAAATAAAATAATTTCTAAAATTTTGATATGTGTGTTTTAAATTATAAAAAGTAATTTAATTTTAATTATTTTCTTAATTTTTGAATTTTTGGAATAAGGAAAGAAAAGAGTTTAACATTATTGTTATTTTTTATATTTTATGATTAAAAATTTAACTGCTATACCTGTAAAGCCTTATTGACTCATATGATAATACAATCGTTCTAAATATCCACAAAAATTTTAAAATCTCACATGATAAAAAAATTTAACAACTTAATTTATTTATATTTTTGAGTGTTAGTAATAATTTATTTAAGCATGTATATATATTTTTTTAAAGAATCTTAATCATCATACCTGCAAAGCATTATTGGCTTATACGATAATATAATTATCTTAAATATCTGTGAAGATTTCAAAATCTCACATGACAAAAGAATTAAATTTATTTAAATATATTTTTAATTTAATTAATTTAATATATAATTTATATATTTCTTTGAAAATTTGATCGTTATATCTGCAGAGTCTTATTGACTTATACGATAATATGATGATCTTAAAAGTCTATGAAGATTC